AGAGGAATGTGCCTCTCTGCAGCATATTCTTTATCCATGTTGCTTGACTATGTCTTTCATCCTTTCATCCAACAGTGCCTAAGTTGCTCTTCTCTTTTATCTTTTTTTTGCCTTTTATTTTACATTCCTATGCATACTCCAGTGAACTATGTCCTTTCATTAAAATCAGTAGACTGAGTGACTTTTTGAGGTTTTCACTGTTACTATTATGATGCTACCGCATTTAATTTTTCCTTTTGCCTTTCCTTGCCTGTTGCACTATGCAATATATCTTTGGCTTTCTCTACTTGTGTCAATCTGAGTCTCATACTAACATTGGTGTTTGCCTAAGACCTTTTTTTTTAAGCCTCATTTAATGAAATCTCATTCCTGTCATACTTTGAGAGATTAAGAATTCACATAGGTTTGATTTTGGCTATTGTCCTTTCCTGAAAAATTTGCAGTCAATTTCAATTTTTGCTTCACAGGTCTTATATTGAATGCTCCAGCATGTTTTGGATGATAGTAGGGTAGGGTGGGGCACCATGGGTCACTTTTTTTGTGGACCTGCAACTTATGCATTTTTATTCCTATGAAGCAATGGAAGGCCCCACATGTTAATACTCAAAACACCTGCACAATCCATTGTTTCAAATTTGTTCATATACAAGTGAGATAAAGTCATATTTTAAAATGGGGCACCATGGGTCAGTGTCTGGGGGTATGATGGGTCATCCCCATAATCATCATTAAAATGAACTTCATATGACCCAAAGAAGTCTTCACACCTCAAGAGGAGAAGCTCTTGAACACTGATGCACTCCACCAAAGTCATCTAGAAAAATTAAGAACCTTTAATCTGAAAATAATCTAAGATTTGTTTCACGTCTAAGAATTTCACATCTGCTGGTGTTGAACCCTACAGAGTCTTCTGCTTCTATTTGCACTTTATTAGATAGGGAAAAATCTGCAAAGGAAATCCTGATCTGTTTTGCCAACTATCAGAAAACATTTGGTGCACTAAGTTATGACCCTTTGTGCCAAAATAGAGTGACTTATTGTGCCCCAACAGGAGCTATTGAAGTGAAATCAATATTTCAATGAGAGTAAGTTGAGATTGTAGCTCATATGTGCAGGCATTGAACTACCTATCTCCTGAATCAAATTCCAGTAAGAATCAAGACAATTCATCAAATGAAATAATTAGCAAAAATCTAGATGTTACTGCCAACAAAAACAAAAAAAGTGTTTCTTCAGAAAAATGTCCACACAATTTGCACTTTGCGTGGGGCTACACTTTTTTTTACTAAATTTTCCTGGCACCTCAACAAGAAGATATGTAGCATATGACATGAAGAGAAACAGCTGGGAGAGCTAAAAACAGTCTGACCCATGGTGCTCCACTCCCCCCTATGATGACTTTTTGGAACTTAGCAAATGTAAGCCACCTCTGCCTAGTGTCTTTTATTCTTATTGTCTTTTTATTGAGCACTGCCATCTCTGTACATGCCAAATATCATCTGTCAATTCCTTGGTTTAATGCTTTTTCTTAGTTCAAGTAGCCTTGTCATGAGACATTTAGAGCCAATCATTGGCAGTTGATGGCATGTACAGACAGACTTCAGCTGGAATTGTCCTTGGAATGAGGAATACTTCTGATCTCTTTTTATATCATTGGTCTTATAGGTTGACCACAGAATCATTGAATTAGCTGTTGGTGCTCTAGGCCAGCTGTACACCCATTGATGAAATTGATCTAATAGCATTGATTAACTAGCCTACAGCTTTAGTATCTTTTCCTTTGTAGCCTTCTAGAGAATTTGATTTTCAATTAGTAATTTTTGGTATGGGAGCTCACATCCATTAGCAGGACTAGAGGACTTGCTTATGAGCCAGATGACAAGCTAAAGTGACATATTGAAAAATTATAGCACTATGGGAAACAACTGGTGGGGGGGGGAGGGGGGAAGGAAAATTCAAGGAAGCTATAGACAGGATTCTTCTATTTGTATGATAGTGTTTGAAAAAGAGGTGAGATCCTGAATATCTTTACTGTGTATTTGTGTCTGTCTCTCTGCATGCAGCCAACATCAATATTTTCAAGATAATGCAGTTTCACATTTTGTCAAAATTGTGCTACATACCATAGACAAAGTCATATAAAGGCTTGTCCCTTACTCCTCCTTCCCACTATCATCCACAGCCTACAACCAAACTTGAAACCCAACAGTACCTTTGTGTTCATTCTCTTTTCATCAAACCTGAGGGCTCTCTTTATTATTGAAATTTATTTAGCTTTTCAAGAGCCACTGCTGTTATGCTGGACCTTGTCCCTCTTGTTACCTTATTAATTATTACTTGTGCCTTTTTTCCCTCCCCCCACCCATAGAATTAAGGCATGCTTGATAAATTGTATATCTCCCTGCTAATAATTTGAACACTTCCAGCAACAGAAAGAATGACAGGAAATTTGCTTAGAACTTATGGGAAATTTTGCATTTTTAAATCCTGAATATCTTGCTACTGCTGGCAACTGAATGGACCCATCTGTTGTGAATTTGGAGTAAATTCCGAACCAAATCATGAATGTATAGAAAATTCAACACTAGGTTATCTTGGTGGGACCCTTTCGCTACGTATTTTTAAAAAAATCCACATATATCTAATATATATAGACAATCATGACTGACTGATGCTAATTCTAACCATGTTCTAGAGAAGTTAGAAATCTAAAACTTGGTACATTTGCACCTTTTGGGATGCAGAGTTCAGAAAATATCAAGTTTCAGATGCATGCCCTGGGGGCATATTTCTGGGGCTGACGTTTCCAAAAAAAAAATGTTGTCCTACCAAATTGAGCAGAGATAGAAAGATGAAACTTGATACATAAGTATCGATTGGGATGCTGAGTTTGAAAAAATTCGGTCTTTGGAGGTAAATGCCCTGGGGGTGCAAATTTCAAGGCGAGATGTTTTCAAATAATTTTTTACTTTAGTCAAACAGATGCACATGGAAAACTGAAACTTTACATGGATGTGCCTACTGACACTCAGGAATGACACTCAAGTTCAGGAAAATTTTCAAGTTTTGGATGCCATTTTCAAATAACTTTTCTTTGTCCTGCCGAATTGGACAGAAATAGAAGGGTGTAACTTGGCACCCTAATAACTGAGGTGATAGTAAGCTCAGGAAAAATTCGCGTTTTGTGGTGCATACCTTCAGGGCACAGCGTTTGGCTGTATCGGCTTTCCAAATATGATTTCTGCACCAGAAAAAAGAGCAAACAGATGAGGATGAAACTTCGCATGTATTCGGTTCTCCGCGTACTGATTCCAATAAAAAATATTAATGTTAGGTAAAACCCCTGAGGACACATTTTTTGCAAAAGACGCATTTTCCGGAATTCTTTCTGATCCAATGAAAGAGGGAACTAAAGAGATTTGAAAATTGGCTCAGCAGTACCAGTTCGATTGCTGAGTGCAAATCTTTTCAAACATGACCCCTCATGGCAGATTATGATGAGATCTGAAGTTAGGCACGCAAGAAACAATCGGAGTAATTATTTCAATAAAAATATCGGTTCGTTCTCTCTCGATACACATTTCGAGAGGAGCATACTTTTAATACGTTTTTGCCACCTTGAAAATAAATTAATGAATGGATCACTATGTTGGACAATGGAGCGCCGAAGGCGCGACCAAAGCGAGTTTATATATATATGCAGGGTGGGCTCGCTCGCTGGTATATATATATGCAGGGTGGGCCAAAAAAAAACTAATATTTAGTGAGCTGTCAATCTGATTGCAGCTTCCCGATTCTGATGAGATTTGGTAGACTTATAGAGTGACTCAATTTGGGTTTGTATGCCGAGTTTAAAATCAAAATTCTAACAAAAACTATGATAATGGCATTCAATTTAAATAACAAAGAAGTAAGCATTCATTTTTAAATTAAACCTACAATTTCGCCACCGGATTAATCAATTTTCTGGATGACGTATTCAAGCCCACTCCTTGATTAGTTTTTGTTTGGAAATTCGCTCATTTTTCTTGCAGAATATCTTTTTTCGAGTTGCAAGTTTAAAAAAAAGAGCAAGATCTTGTCACGCGTGTTAGGCACGTTTGACAATGCTCTTTCACCTGAAACAAAAGGAAAGGAAAATAGTAAATTTTTTAGAAATATTGAAGTCCCACTTGGTATTCAGTGAGCTAGCTTGGCTTTTTTTAAATGTATTTATTGTAAGTAGGTTGGCCTTAGCCTAGCCTGCCTAGCTTATACACTAACTTAGCTTATTGCGGCGGACGGTTATGTATTCCATGAATACAGACCAAGTTCATTTTGATATTTTTGACAGCACATTTTGCGGTGGGTCATTATAAAATAATTACAGCTCTTTATAATTTTAGAGCCAGAAGGCTGAAATTTGACAAACAAACCCCAATTGTGTCACTCTGTAAGCCTACCAAATTTAATTCCTCAGAATTGGCAGCCTACAATCAGAGTGACAACTCATCAAAAATTAGGGTTTTTTGTGCCCACCCTGTATTTTTTTTTTAGATACGGGTACATAACTTGTGATGAAAAAACGAGTTTTTTTGCCCCTTGGAAGGCGTTGCTGAGAATAGGGAGGCTCTTGGGACTCCTTCTACCGAAATGCGGAAGGAAGTTTTCGTGCATGGTGATGGTCATCATCGTGGATAGAGGAGAGGGAGGGCTGGCAATCACTTTCCTGTCGATGAAGGAGAAAATTGCACCTACTGTCGATTGATTCCTCCTGGAAAGAGGGTGTTTGATCAATAATGTGCCACATGGCCCTCCGCTGTATATATAAATACACCTACGCCTCCTTCCTTGTTTGTTTGAACTTGGACTCCGTCAGTTTATGAGTCTGGGATATTGATGAGGGACCCCGTCTATCTTATTTGCGGTTTTCCTTTCACCCTCTGTATTTACACGTGCAAATGCATATTCAGCCATTTCTCCGTAAAGCAATGGTCTGTATATCATTTTCGCATAATTGGTTTGTCCATATCTTACAGATTTCATTTTGTGAGTTCAATGTGGTGACTGAGTGACTAGGATGACGTGATCCGTGTGTTTCAGTCTTTTGTGTAGTGCTGTGTGAAGCATGAAGAGTGACAAAGTGGCATAACTTTGTCTGATTAAAATTTGGGGAGAAAAAACCCGTGTGAATAATAGAGAATGGATGGTGAGAGGATGAGGAAGATTCAGGAGCAGGAGGCCCTCAGAAATATCATTACCCAATGGAACGCAAACCGACTGGACCTCTTTTCCCTCTCCGAGCCGAACGAGGTGAGCTCTCTCTCAACTCCTCCCTTTTTGACCGAGCGACTCTTGTTTTTTTTTTTTTGTTGTTGCTTATTCAAGACTCTGCGGAAGATAGATCATCGACCAATAAAAAAGAATACTGGCGGAAAAGCACCATGCATGTCAAAAACAAACATTCGCGTGTGTGTGTGTGTGTTTGCGTGTGTCCTGCGCTCTAGGCGACCCAAACCGAAACCCTACATCAACCCAAGAGTGGGTCGCGACCCATTGGTTAGAAACCTGTATTATATGGATGTGGTACATGTCATCTGGAGGTGTTAATATGAAACCCCTTTGAAAAAAAGTAGCGAAACTCGTTCCTGAATTGGCTGACGTCTGCGAGATGAAACGATGAATAGGAATATTCGTCCTTGACAGTCTTCTGCCGTCACCCCTGTGCCTTGTATCATGTAAAATGTCCCGTGCAGGACATTGTCACCCGCGAGGTCGTGGGAGATGCCAGCGTCGTGACTGTTCGTGGGGGGGGGGGATTCTTTTTCCAACACTTAGAACAATCTCGCTGGAGACCCGATTGCTTGCAAACGGGTTTCACTCCAGGCTGGATTAAACGAAAAAAAAAAGACTTCAATAGATTGATAAATTTCAAGGTTTCTTTCTCTTATTGAAATGTTCCAGTCAGAAACGGAACTGCATCGGATATTTTTCGACACCCACAAGGGGAGTGGGAGCTGAGTCGGCTTTAACATCAACCGCTGCCTTTATATTTTCGGAGTGAGTCACTGAGTGTTCCAGGTATGTGTATAAAGGAGGAGGAGAAGGGAAGGAAGGAAAGAGAGTCCTGGGCATTGAACGGAGACAGGCTGGGGAATTTGCAGGTGGAACTAATGGAAGAGAAGCGGCCATGGCCGGCGTGTCATCCGTGTCCGACTGGGCTTCTACGTCTTCTTTATAACACCGTTTCTCCATTCCCATCGGCATCCATTCTTTCCCTGATCTTTCTCCATCGTTGGGGATGGAGGAGGAGGGGAGATGGCTTGGGCGTGTGCCGAACACCGATAGGATCCAGCCCTGCTCACTGTTTGTTTCTAGGCTGACAACAAATACAAAGACGATAGACGATGGAGATGCGTTCATTGTCTTGAGTCAATAGAAGCGCACTAACAGTGCGCGGGAAGAAAGCCTTTTTGAGACCACGTGAACAGGGTCAGTGGGTCGATAGAAACTGTAAAATGAAAATTACGTGGGTTGAGAAGTTCTGTATTTAAAAAAAAAGGGTCCCCTTTCCAACACCCATCGCTTTTGTATCCGTGCCTGAGAGGGGTGTCGTGTGTCTCAGGTCTTTTGTTCGAGTTTTTTCCTCTTGCACCATTGAATTGAGAAGTCTTAGAAACTGGAGCCGTTCTGTTTCACTCGTCCGTGTACTTGCATGCTTTTTTCCGTCGAGGAAATTTTCCCAGCCTAAAAATGCGGAAGAATTGAGCAAAACGATCCTGCCTGGTCTCTTGGCAAGGAACCATGTATGTAACACGTATTGCCTCACATCCGACGGCTGGAATACAAATGAGATTAGATGCAGGATACAGTTTAATATACAGACATATCGCGTCGCCTCTCCCTTAATAGTCTAGCTCGTCTCTTCCACGTGCATCCGCTGGCTCTGTCACGTGTATTCCCATGACATATAAACCATGGTGTATCACAGTGATTAATTTGCATTATTGCGTTTCCAGCACGAGGAAAAGTTTTAAACATGGGAATGAATTTTCTGCTTGAAGAAAGCATCAATACTGATAGGGATACGTGAAAGAGTGAAGGGAATAAATATCCTGTATGGTGCATGTGTGGCCCGAACCTCACCAGAACTGTTTCTTCTTTGTTGTTGCCTTGAATTTTCTTCAGTCTTGAACATATAGATCGGCGAATAATGACGGGTTTTGTTTTTGCTTTTTTTCACCTCCCACTTTACAGTTGGATGTGATGGGGATACTGCACAAGCGTATGAAGAGGGCGTGTTAGCGGATAGGGGTATCGCAGTTTTTTTTCCTTAATTCTGATTTCGTCTGCCGTCTGAAGGGGGGGGGGGGAAGGAGAGGTTAAGAAGACTGTTTGAACACAGACCGAAAGAGGAAAATGGTTGATGGGCTAGGTGGGGTTCCGCCTGGGATCAGAAGGGACGTACGTCTAGAGGTGTGGGGGAAGTTAAGCGATGCTAGAGATGATCAGACCGGATATGGCTCATGGTTAATTTGGGATGTGTGAGGGGTGGTGACTGGTGGGAAAGAGAGACCGAAGAGAACATAAGAAAAGGTCATATTCTGCTCCTAAATGCCTAAACTAGCCTCGCTGTCTATACTGTGCAAACAAAGTGAAACCTTAATTATAGAACCCTGTTTACATTTTAAAGCCAAGGGTGTAGGAGAAAGCAACGCCATGTTTTATTTATTGTCGCGAATTTCCATCGGCAATAAATTTTTCAAACAAAAAAGTTATATGAGCAAATGGGTGCTGTTAATGCATGGCTAATGAATGTTCGCGAACTGATGTGTCGAAACCGAGGGTGAAAAGCAGAAGAGGCCGTACTCTTTGTGCCAGCTAGGTTTCGAAAACTTGAACTTCGAATGTTCATCTCCATATCGCTCGTCACTGTTGGAAAAAAGAAGAAAGTATTAAACCCCAATTGTTTTCGTGGCCCTGGAACAGAACCACAGGAAGAGAAATCTTCAGAGGGAAGAATTCATATTTTTTCGGAGGGGTAACAGAACCAGTCACAACATTAGTTCAGTACCATTCTTCCCTGGGAATGCGTACTCGGCGTCTAATCTCAATTGCTAAACCGTCAATCCTGGGAGTATTTACACTTTTTATGTAAGGTATTGACTGATTCATAAGTATAAAAGCAGCGAAGGTGATGAGTGGGAAGATGACCAGGATCTACTCCTAGATCTCAAAAGCCAGATAGGCTTTTGCAACCATGTTCCGCAATACCGGATGAGAACAGATGAAAAAGTCCAAGTCATATGTTCAGACTTCTCACCTGCAATCTTGACACACCAGTCTCCCTCCCATATTAGACCTCCATCAACTCAAGACAGAAATGAATTCTTCCTGGTTGCAAATTTGGCACTGATGTCACTGCTTCCAGTTTTGACGCCAGCAGTTAACACGTTGACCGCCACGGCCATATTGGCCTGGTGACTTTCCTGGGCCAAAATAAATGTTACACCCTTGGAGAAGGTGAAGCACGGGGCGCTCCGGTGCGCCCCATGGCGCAGGGAAAGGGACTTAGTGAGGCGTACAGGTGCGCCCCATGGCGGTCAACCTGCTAAATACCCTTGCACATGTTACAATTCGATCAAGCAACCTATAAACCCATCTTGTCTGTATGACGAAGAAAAGTTTACGGTGTACATACTCATGGGGTAGCAGCATCCTGCTGTAACCTCGTTACAGAGATTTCTCCGAAGGAGAAATCTCTGTTTTGTGTTCGATCCTCGTTTCCATTGGAATTGATTTATTTTAAATTCCAAGCTACCACTATTTTCAATTTCCCTTGTTTCGTGGGATTGACCTGGGTGCTAGTTTTGATACTGGCAAAGTAGTCGAGGGGGTGCGGTTCCTGGAAAGCTGGGAAAGTGATGACGATCGTCCTAGGGAATTGAGTCTTAAGCGATTGGGTGGATTGCGTGTATCACAGGAATCCGGTCTCAATCGACTCAGTTGCGTGTCTATCTGTATCTCGCCCTTTACTCCGCTGTCTGTCACTCTCTCGCCTCAAGGTCCTCGCCTTCAAATCTTATCTCCCTCTTTCCATCCTGATTTCTTTACAAACATCTCCTCTGTGTACTCAGAACCTGTGATTTTGTTCAGGGTAGTGTCCATGGACCATTGGAGCTCCGTTATGTAGATGGAAAAAAATAGCCTCAGGGGGGAAGTGAAGGGGACACCATCTCAAGGCCAGTCGGAGCGACGCGCCTCGTTATGGGAAAGTATGCGAACTCGATTCCAAATCATTTTCCCTACGCCTTTCGATATTGTTTTTTTTTTTCTTCAGAAGTTATGGGTAAGAAGGGAGTTTTTTTGTTCAGTGATTTTGGGGTGTCGAATTCGTCGTTTTCCCACACCCCTGTTGAACTCCTAAGTTGTGAAAGATCCGCTTCTTCCTGCCCTTTATCCTTTTCGTTGATATGGGCGGTCTCCCAGCTTGCAATAGTGCATAGCACTTGCTGGCGATGGAAGTACCCCGAAGGAGGAAGCCCATTTCCCTTCTAGTCGAAAATCGTTTGCGCCCAAGGGCTGTCTTCACGTAGTGGAGTAAGTAAGCAGACGTATGGGAATCTCATCCTTATGGCTGACATCCGACCTTGGCCCATTGCCCCTCCATGATGTAACGCCGTGTTCTTTTCCTCCTCTCTCTCCCTCTCTCTCGTTTACTCACTCACTTACACTTGCTATCCTCCGTATCTAAATGCAGCCCCTGGCGGTTCTGGTTCTCAATTGCAATTCACGCTCCATCTGATGGATTCCACGAAGAAGGGAAAAAAGGATCAATTAGGTCAGGTTAATAATTTTGCTCTGATTTACCAGGTGTTTTACTGTACATAGCGATATTTTTGTACTGTGGGAAAATGGAAAACGAGGGGAGGCGTCTGGCTTCTCTGCCTTCCCATTCCCAGGGGTCGAATGACGGGTATGAAGAAAACCTGGTGTCGTCTTGGCTTCCAAGTACCATTCTTGGCGTGACTTTATTTTTATTTTTCATATGAATTACATGAGAAGACTCGAAAGCTACTTGGAACTTGCGTAAACGCAGTCGCGAGGATCATGGATCAGGTACGTATCCAAGGAGTTGTTTCGAGACGTTTTCCTTACTTTTCCAACCCTGGACCATGTCTAATGGCAGGTCATGGAGTCATTGTGGTCCACCCTTCTTTGTCACGGTTCATCTCTCGAAGTTGTTACCGTCACGAAACAGGATAAGATAGAAGAAACCCAGACTTGTGTTTGGGTATGAGGAGTTGTTTCTCTCTCTCCCTCTCTACAAAGGAGACAGAGACAAGACTGCAGACCGGAGACATGCTCAACGGGCGAAAAAACTACTCCACAATCCATTCCTTCCATTGACCCCTTTTTTTTCTTTCGCAGCTTCCTCTTCGAGGCACGTGTCCGGTTCTAAGTTCCGCTGTGAAAAAAGGAAGGAATCCCAAATAAGTGTGCACCGCAGGGTCGTTTTTTGATGTGAGGACGAATCGCGACTTGCAAGATAATTTTAAAAAAATCCGTTGTGTTGTCCTTTTGTGCTCAGGTAGCTATCGTCATGGAAGGTGACACGCCCCGAAAATACGGGCTACTTATGCGTTTGCAAAGGAATGTCAGGTCTCACGTCTGTGCGGTATATATGAGATTCATCTTCAGGAACCGTTTGGAGTGAGATTTCAAGCTTCTGGCTGAATCATGCTCTTGGGAAATCATAACAAAAGGATTCTCTTCGCCATCTTGACGACCTTAAAAAAATATATGGTTGTGTGCAATGTAGGTTAATATGAGGGGAATGGAAACACGTAGACGTGGTGGCAAAGGCGCCTGTATATCCTTCAGGTCTGGGTCATTCGAGACGGTGTATGTCATTGGATGAGTCTTCTGACTGGGATGGGAATATGATGAGGGATGGATACTTCAACACGGTTATCCATCGTCTTCATCCTCAGCTGATTCATGGTCAATTTGTATGAATTGTATACAATGCCCTCTTGATGGCTCATTGTTCAACCAACTATGATCGGAACGTTGTCTATCATACGGTATTGAGTCTGCGGACAACTGAGTGACTTTTACCTTTCCGTTCTTCGTAAAAAAAAATAGTTACGAAAGTTTCGAGTTTCATTTGTATGTCAACTTAGCATGACTTAGCAAGAGTGCTCTTGTGCTTTTCATTTCATATAATGTTTTCATTTCAGGTAACCACCATACAAGATTTTCTCATTTTTTTCTAAAACGATATAGGGGCATTCCAACTCCAGCACAAGTGATCAAGTGGTAATTGCATGCCTTCGACAGAGGTTCACATGAGTAATTCATACATGATGACCTCCCTGTGTTGTGAGAAAACTTCATTATTTCAGTGCTCTAGCTCAAACAGATCTCAAGATATTCAATCCCAAAGTTAGCTTCCTGGGGGAAAAAGTGACTTCATGGGTCAAGTGGCTATCTTTGGCCTTAATTGAACTAGGAAAGAGTTTTTAGGCTCAAATGAAAGCGGAGACAAACCTGAATCGAATTACTATGATGCACTCCTCTGTAGTTTTATTGTGAAGAAGCTGTGGCTTTTTTTAAAAAAAAAAAATTAAAATTTTACATCAACATTTCGAGCAGTGGGAATCACGATTAGCTCACCATGCATGTATTTTCTTCAGCAAATCCCTGTCTGATGTGCAACCACCATGTTATTGCTTGAGCTGGAATACCTCTACTTTACCAAGACAGTAACTTTCTGCTCTATACACACTGTCAATCTGGCATATTATTGATTCTTCTTCTTTTTATCACCATCCCATTAGTGGCAATATGTTGAGCATCATTGGAAGGCTGGTTAGATGGTTTTTCAGGATATTCATTTTGTCATCATCAACATTGGGGATTTATTAGCAAAGCAAAAGAAGTTAATGCATCAGTTTGAAAATGGACAGGAAGTTTTTTTTTTATCTCTAGCAAAAATATGTAAAATTTTTCTCCTCTAATGTTCATGCTAAATGTAGATTGGCCAAAAGAACTCTCATGGTATTTTGGAATCTCTGAACATTTAACCTTGGTATGTTGTTTCAGCGACATTCAAGATCAGCTAATAAGTATGAAAAATGAACCTTTCTCAAAATTTTCTGGATCAAGACATTCAGTTTTGACATGTTTTGTCATTCCTTGTTGGGTAGGACCTGGAGTTCCATGGTGTCATGCGATTCTACTTCCAAGATGAGGGTCAGAAGGTGGCAACCAAGTGTATTCGAGTGTCTAGTACAGCCACCACTAATGCTGTCATCCAGACTCTGATTGAGAAGTTTCGTCCTGACATGCGCATGCTTACCATCCCTGAATATGCCCTCTATGAGATCCATGAAAATGGAGGTATGGCTTTCTCTCAGCAAAAATGCTATATATTATAGACTAAGATGACCTTCCCGTCATTGAAGTGAAAAAGTCAAAAGTCATAAAAATACTTGACCTGCTATAGATAATGATTGCCTTGGGGCCTAATTGTGATAGATCTATGCCAATGCACAAATGAACTTATTTTAAAAATAAGTTTTGTTGTGACTCTTTGACTCTTTTTGTACAAAAGTGAATATTTGTGGAGCATTAGTTATTCCAGCCATATTTTAGTTGTGTAGTATTAGTTTTCAAAAAGAATGGAGATAATCAAAATGTGGTAGCACCAGGGACAAGTTGCCTAAAATAAAATTATTTAGTAATTTTTAAAATTTATTTATATATTTTTTTTTTAGATGATTGGAAAGTTTTGAAAAAATTGTCAGATAGGTAGTTAATTCAGCCTGGTGTAAAAAGGTTTGTCACAGAGTGAAAGCTAGAGGAATGGAGATTATAAATATATAAGTTTGTCTATTTTTTGGTTCAATTGTTACATTTGAAGAATAATGCATTGGCAGAATGAACATTTGTATGTGGTGGAAGGCAAGTTTGGATGAATGGAACTCTCTGAAATGAGTCTTCATTATGACTCTGAACTCATGCTAGAATCAGTGGTTCAGGAGCATTAGTCAAGCTCTTTATTTAAAAAAAAAACCTTTGATGATACTGTTTCTCAAGGTCAATCTGTCACTGGTGCCTACTGCTCTGAAGTTCTGAGATATCCTTTGGCAGCAAGAACTCAAAAAAATGATCAGACTTAGCTGAAAGCCACTTTATCCTTTGTTGCGATGATTCACTTTCCCAAGCAACTTGTGTACCAGAAACAACTCAAAGAAAAGGGGTCGTATTTTTGCTACATCCTGCCTTTAGCTCTGATCAATGCATCAATACCCAATCAATACATTGTTAATATATCAATGAGTAATTTCTATCATACATTTTATAAGGGGCAGGAATGGTGGGTGAGATGAGTGCATTCCACTTGAGGGAAATTAATTTGAAGGGGAATAAAGTGAAATTTGTCTGAATTGTATGATTTTAATTTTATGAGACCAGTTGTAAAACTTTGTAAATATTTTTTGTATTTCATGGTTGATGAAGTCCAAGGCAAAATTGCTACTTCATGTGGTGGTAAGCCACATGTTATAGTACCCTCATTATGTCCAATTATATATAATATTATTTCAGGAGTGCCCCCTTCATGTCACAATAGATATACAGTGTGGTGCATAAATACCTCCAGGATGTTAAGAGTAAATAAAAGACTCATGACAAATGACTTCATACTGATATATATTCCAATGGCAGCCTGGACATGTGAAAAATGATGTCACTAAGGTGGCTGCCTGCCTATGGTGCATTGACATCTATGTTTTCCAGACACTGATGACTGGCTTTGACTGTTTTGAATAAAATGACAAAACTTGAAAGCTTCCATTGAGGTGGAAGTTTTCAAAGGTATGTTCTTGCTTCCAAAGGTGTATTTTTGACAACTTACTTTCGTTCCTCTATCATACCTCTTTTTTTTCTTGTTCCCATCACCACCATTGATGCATGAACTGATATCCTAGAAGCAGATTCACTACAGTAAAGAAGGGAGCTTACAACTTACTGTCTCCTAAAATTTCACTCTTTGCCAGTTATGGTGCCTTAGTTGCAAAGATAAATTTTATCTTCTATAGAAAATGTTTCCCAGAACCAGTAGTGACAGTGCTTCAGTAGTCAGTGGTCTTCACAATCTTAGGCTTAAAGCATGCACTGCCAAAGTCGACTATAGTCAATTTAAAAAACTCCTGCTAAGAATACCTTCGTCAACTAAGGTTGACTTGAAAGGTCATGCATGTGAAACCTCACAAAGTGCCCAAAGATGGTGTGAAAGGTGATGTTTCTGGCATCCAGGGTTTCCCAGACACTATCCAACTCTAATAATAGCACTTAGCATTTTCCACTCCTCCAGTTACCTACAATCCCACATCTTGTTTACCTGCCCCTCCTGATGACTCACAAGTTGCAGCCATGTGCTTGAAATGTGTGAGAGAGGGATACAAGTGCTACAGATGGTGATATTGATTTAGTACTATGATATGGTACAAATTCCTCATCTGATCAGAGTAAGGATGTTGAAGGTGATGCAGATACATCCCACCCTCAGAAAAATAAAACCTGCAATGTACTCCTGAGTGTACATGCAATGCAAGAAAAGTAAAACCTGATTTTTGCGCATTCTCTATGAAATGTCATTGCATCCAAATGACTTTCATGCTATGTATCACACCCTTAATGTCTACCAAGTAATTATTGATAAAGATTTTTGGCTCTAATAGATTTGCTCTTGTAATTCTTTTCCTAAAACATTGCACACATTTTCACAGACCCATAAATACACTGGCAATATAGCGACGATCTCACTTTAAAAGTCAGGCAGCGCAATGAATGAGCTAAGAAATTTATTTGTTGCCAAAAAAAGCATGACAAAGAAGGAGTTGAGCAATCTTGTTGAATATTTTGTTGGGCTTTTTTTCTGGTGATGAGCTTTAAAAAGAATCTCTGGTATTGTATTCCATTGGTGAGATGAATGTGGCAGTGGTGCCGTAAATCTTAGTGTTTGGCTTTAGATGTGCACATATTACATTTTTGCCATCTCCATTTATCCAAACCCAAGAACCTCTTGTTTTAGCCTTATTTGCTTCCCTCCTAAAATCTCACCCATGATTTGTTAGGGGGATTTCACTCCTACAACAATGTAAGCTACAGAATCAGATGAAAAAAAGGAGGGATCACAATGTGGTGCCTCTCAAGGGAGGTAAGAGGCTCTCCTCTGTCTTGTTTCACCATGCCATGCCAGAAACTGTTCAAGTTTTGAGGCTTTATTCTAATTGATGCTAGTTTGATATTTCAGAAAAGGAAGAGTAGGCCTAGATGGTGTGGTAGCTTATTCAATAGGCCTAGTAGCGAATCACATGTTTAGAATTTTAATTTTAAAGTATGTGTGCAAGGTGATACCCATTGATGTTTCGCAAGGGTTATGAAAGTGTTTGCTGTAGTCTCAGTTGATGGAACTGGAATTATAAATTTGGCAGAGGAGAGGCGGTTGGGAGGAGAGGAGAAACCACTGCTGGTACAGTTGAATTGGCACAAGGATGATCGTGAAGGACGGTTCCTTCTTAGGCGCCTTGACATCCAATCCCCACATTTCTCTGCTCTCCATGGAACCACCCAGAAAACTCAGGTGAGTCTTATCGAATGGCAAAGCTTTCACAAACAATGATTGAGTCTTATCCCATGACCATAAACTAATGACCTCATTCAAGAGAAGGCTCATATGGAAGCAAAGTACAGAATAGAGAAGAGCAACTCATATCTGCAAGTTCTTGAAGGTTACATGTTTGATTGAAGAGATGTCATCATTTGTTTGCACTTTCAGCATCACCTTTCATTGCATTTTCCATCCCTTCTCCTCCACCATTTTTTCCTCTCTTGTCTTTGCACCTTGACCTTATTCTTTGTACTAGTTTATAGGCACATGTACTCTCTGTCTCTATCTGGGAAAAAAAGTTTTATAGAATAAGTTCGTTCAGCAGGTGAATTCATCTGTATCTGAGGAGACAGGAAGTTTCAAGAGGAAGTTGTCAAAAAGGGAAAAGAAGCAGTTGAAGAAACAGGAGAAGTTGCGTCGCATGAAATCTGGTGCAGAGAATGACACCAATGTGGCTGAGAAATTATATTCAGGTGAGTAGAAGTTTAACTATGAAACCCAGGAGATACATTGATGAATTTGATATTTGTGCTCATGTATCACTTGTGGGCTGATTTGATAGAAAAACCATGAATATTCATGGAATTTATGTCCCAATTCATGAGTTTGCATGTCAAGGAAGGGCCAGGGTTTCTTTCTTGGGATTCTGTATCTCCAGGAGTTGACTTTCACTCAGAAGCATGATTGCCCTCAGGTGCTTGTTGCTAACTGTGCACTTACCCTTTGCAGGGGTTATTATGGCTACTCTCTTGATTCTATTGGCTATAGTTTTTCATTATTACAGTAATACATTTAAACTTCTGTTTGCATAGGGAAATATATATATGAGATCTTGGTCTTATAACTGTTTTACAGTACATGACTTGGTATTGGTTTGCCATTCTGACACTGGTGAGCCAATTAGATTATGTGTTGACAATGCTATACAAAGTTTTAAAAGTATTTTAAAATGGTCAGGGGTGCTTTGAAATTACTTTCTTGTGGTCTCTGAAGGTATTAAAGTTTGACTGTGATAACTGTGATGGTATTTGTTTTCACAGGTAACTAATAATCAAACATTATTAATATTCAATGTCTGAAGTTGCCTAAACCTGATTGGAGATTTTCTCTCTGTCCATAGTGTCCAGGCTTAGCCTCACAAAGACCTTGTCCAGCTCCATTATTGAATCTCAATTTCCTAAGGCTCTTTCACCTAGCCAACTGATGAAAGACAAAGTCAACTAAGAAAATGTCATGGGTTGAACACTTGTGTTTGATATCAACTGATATCCCTCTTGTCACTGCATTTATCATTTCTTAATCTATTATATAGTCCATGATACATCTATTTTGTTCATCTTTCTTGCCCTAGTTCTTCACATTTATTTCTATAGGCTTTTCTTTTTTTTTTTTTTTTTTTTATTTATTTATATTTTATATTTATTCCATAGGATCAGGATTTAAATGGACTCTCGTTAAGTTTTCTCCTGAATGGTATGATAAAAATGAAAGAAACTTGCAAATAATTTTCATATGGGATGACCTAATATATAGTATAGGGACAGATAGGTGCACAGAGGAAAGGCACCAAAATCTAGATTAATTTGCATACAAAAGTTTTTCCTGCTGGGCAAATGTTCCATAAATTTATGAGATGGTCCAGATTGCAGTATTAAGAAAAAGCCAATTTTGAAGATTTTGTGAAACTTAATTGGTTCAGCATTTTCTTGCAACATTTTATATGAAAAGTTTAACTTGAGGAAATAGCATGGGAAGTATGAAAATATGACATTAGCATCACCAACAGCATTCAACAAGTACAAGGGCTGGCCAATTGTTGAAGAATTTAGATTCTATAAAAACTAGAGAACCTGATGATGAATGCCAACTGCCCAAAAGCTGCTATTGATCTGAGGAATTGGTATAAAGTACCTTGGATGCTGTCCCACTTGATGGTGATATATTTCCCCAATTAGGTAGAGAATTGGCCTCCCATCAATGGGTCTTGTGGAGGGGAAAATATTGATTTTTCAAGTTACTGGTAAATTTGACATGAAAAATGGAAGGAATAAAGAGGGGATGGGACCCTTAGTCATCAATGGTTCTGGTTCTGATCATCTTCATCATTATTGGTATTAATGAAGTCCAGAATGGGAGCACAGGTTTGGCATCAGCCAGAGCATCCTATTTTTGCATGGTTGACCTAATTGCTGAAGAGAATCTTGCAGACTGTCCTTTTCTGATGAATTCTGATTGCAATCATCAAAAAGTGATCATGTAAAGTATCCTGATGATACCTGGAATGGTTTAGGTGTCCAAAGTGGGACCAATGTCGTTTTCCTAGACAAAACATCACATGCACTTTTGGTCATAGCACTATTTCATTGCAGACACCAATTGTTGCACTGTCCTTGTCATGAGGGCATTACAAGGGCTGGGAACAGATGCAGCTTGCTCAAGTCTATGCGTGGGTTCTTGAGAATTTTGAGCAGGGGCTTTCAGCTCTCCAATTGTCTTTGCCAGTTGGGCATGATCAGAACTGGGTGCATGATTGTGGTCAGTGGGTGACTTGGCCGCTCATTTCTTGTATGCATCCTACCCTTACAGCTTCACAGCTCACATCACTATGCTATCTTATTGATACTGCCCCTCTACAGTATAGAGATACTCTTCATAATGAAGCTTATCTTTACTTTTAGATGTCTTGATGTATTTCAGTGCCATTAGCATGACTCTAGATACATGTACATGAATGCAAAACGGCTCACAGTAACATCAGAATGACTGCAACCCTTTGCCTCCCCTTCACTTCCTCCATTCATATCCACGAGGAACACAAACCCTATTCCTTTCTACCATTATTGTTCACCTTGCTTTCACTCCTGTCTCACCCATGCAACTATCATTGCCCATGATGAAATAGTGCGATGACCAAAAGTGTATGTGACTTATTTCCACAACCTTTTTGGCCTGACAAAAATGCCAGTAACTGTCCAAAGGTAGGAACAGTTTTTTTTACCTGCCCCATCCCCCTCTTTTTTTTTTCTTTTTTTTTATTTAGCGTTTTTCATGAAGATCTCTCCTGAAAACTGTCCATAGAAGTGGCAGCAATTTTATGTTCATCTAATGTGTTCCATAAATTCAAAGTTCAACTAGAAAAAAGGCATTCTACAGCTTGAAGCCATGGCAGATCATCAATGAATTCTACCTGTGCTTGTATACCCTGAAGAAGTCTATGGATAATGGTGATTCTTGGAGAATTGTATGACACCTGCCAAGATGAAAAACTTGAACCAGTATCTTAGTAAATGTTCTTGTGTGATCCCATTTGGTTAAAGCCTATTTGGTTGATTATTTTTGTATTCTTTGGATGTCATAGGTTTATCAGTTTCTTAATGCAATAATTTTTCACCTGAAGGTGCAAGAATCATGGAAGCTCTGTTCCTTACAGGGTGCGTAAGAAGTTCTGTTACAAACTTTGGACTCACATAGAATGTCTCCCGGGTAGAATCTTTTACAAGCCTATGGGTGTGTGACTTGTATGGACATGTAGCTTAAAGTTGCAGATGAAGCAATGGTCTCATCAGTTCCTATCATTTATTGTGCCAAAATGAATGCACAACGTGCAGCCATCATTGAGCTTCATCTCAGCGGAAAAACGCCACCAGAGATATTCAAAGACCTCTCAGGCCAAGGCACGAATCGTATGTTCATTCATCGCACCATTAAACGATATCAGCAGACCCACTCTATCCAGGATCGTGAGAGAAGTGGAC